ATCAACCGAGAGCTGCTTGACGGCCCATGGATCAGTTGGGAAAATATCCCAAAGGACGTGAGATGCCGAATGTGGGAGCGGTTCCAGGTTTGTGTTATATATTCAACTTATTATATTTCATGTATTCTTTTGAACCTAAGAATCGCCTAAAATTTTATATACAGGGCTATTACACTTGGGATCCGGCTTTAGATGCCCAGATCCTGGAGACATGTGAGAGAAAGTCGGCAAAGCCATATAATGACAACATGAGTGCCGCGAGGAAGAAAGATGGGGAAAAAACAAAGATGAATGGGTATCCTCGCTACAATGAAACGGACCCCCACCAGGATATGAGTGTGTTGAAGAATTCCCCGCCCCCCAGCTGGATATCTTCAGATGTGTGGATCCAAATGGTCGATCGTTGGAACAACGAAATTTGGAAGGTTGTTTTCGGTATGGCGCATGAGAACCGTGATAGCCAAGTTGCGCTACACACCGGTGGATCGATACCATTTTCGGAGCATGGTGCTCGTCTGGTAGAACTTAAAACCCATTAATTTAGTAGCTTGATTTTTAATAGGTTATAATTAACATATGTTTGTATTATTTGACCTTTGTAGACACGAGCAAAAGATGGCATGCCCCCGACCGTTGTGGAATTGTTCGATCACACACACAACAAAAGGTCGAGTGTAGATGCCGCATCTATGGATTCGGGGGGGGGGGGAGGTACGTGACCACTAAGTGTAGCCAAGTCATGGTAAGTATATCTATCTATTATAATTGGGTTATCATTTGTTGGGCAAATATTATAATTGTTTAAGTTAGAAATTACGTGTGTGTGTGTTTATATATATATATCATTATTTATTTTGGGTTGCCTTTGTTGCGCAAACATTAAGATTGTTTAAGTTAGAAATTACGTATATATCATTATTTAGTTTGGGTTGCCATTTGTTGGGCAAATGTTAGGATTGTTTTGGATACAATTTTCGTATCTATCACTATTATTTTGCCTGGAAACGTCCCATTTACAGCCGTTATGTTGTCAAAATTGACTTGCAATCTTTTTTAAACCATATATAGGATGACTATTCAACGGGTCTCAGCCAAAGATACGGCGATGATCCTTCCACCTATCCCTTAATTGATAAAGAGTTGTGGGAGCAAGCGGTTGGGGGAAGCAAGAAAATCCGTTTATTTGGATTTGGGTACAACCAAGATCTCAAATGTGTCTTGACCGGTAACTACACGGAAGGTGGTTCATTGTCTTCAGATAAGCACGTATGTGTCTCTTTTCCTTTGATGATGTTTATCGACTTAGTTTATAATTCATATTAAATATTATAATGTTTTATTTATTTTATAGAAAATTGAAGCCTTAACATCCCAAGTTCTGGATTTACAAAAAGAAAATCAGCGTCGACGGATGGTGGAGAAGCAACTTCAGTCACAAATTAATGATATGACTGCTTTGTTTAACGAACTCCATCAATCACAACAATTCCTACCACCACCTTATTGAATATCGTTTGTTTATTTGGAACAATTTAGTTTGTTTTTAACATTGTGTGATACTTTAAATTATATATTGTTTGTAACAATTGTTTAGTTTAATGTATGATATTTGGTTGCATTTTATTTTTTTAGTTTTATCCATATTTTTACAGATTTACAGGTTCTAAATATTTATTGAAACAATAATTTAAAAATAAATTTTTTATTCCGATGGATATATCAGCCGGTAATATTGAAAATTTATAATAATATTTAAAAAATAAATAAATCTTTAAATAAATATTTAAAAAATAAATAATATTACCGGCGGATTTCCGGCGGAAATATCCGCCGGTAATATTAAAAAAAGTTATTTCAAAATTTAATTTTATTAAATTAATTTTCCGGCAAGAAAATAATTGCGGCGGATTTCCGGCGGAAATATCCGCCGATAAATTAAATTTTCATTTCTTAAATTTTTAATTAAGTAAATCAAATTTTCTTAATTAAGCCGGCGAAAGGTTTCCGGCGGCAGAAATCCGCCGGTAAAATAAAGCATCCTCCGATAAACTCGACCGAAAAGGAATCACCGGCGCCTTTTTTTGGGGCAAACAAATCCGCCGGAAAATCCTACTTCCGGCGGATTTATCCGCCGAAAAAAAAGGTATGTTTGGTAGTGTGAATTGTGCGGGTACCATCATATTAGTTGATAGTATTACAAAACTCTATTTTAAAATATCCCAAAAAGGATACAAAATTATCACAAAAAAATATTTAATTAAACAAATTATAAAAATCGTATCTTATTTAATTTTCAACTTAGGTGGCGTTTGGTTTGCATATTCTTACATATATATGATGGAATTGGAATGTTAAATTTCATTGACCAAATTTCATTCCCTCATTTGATTCATTATTTTTCAGAAAAGGAATCCTCAAAATCCATTAAATTCTACAAACAAGGGATTTAAACATTCTTTGACAGTAAAATAATATTTTAATAAAATAGAATGTTCTAATTTCAAAGTTTCAATCACTAGTTTATACATATATGAGGGTATATATACAATATATTGACGATATTATAAAACATTTATAAGTTACTATAACTTGAGTATGAGTTATTAATAGATTTAAACTTTATATAATCAACTGATAAATATGTTTAAATACAAGTTACACGTTGAAATCTATCATTACAACAAGATATTCTTGAAATTGTTATCTAAAAAAAACTCCCATTAATTCTCTCAAAGCAACACAAATTCATAAAACAAAGTCAAAAGAGACGAAATAGAGATGTATTGTGTTACATTGCGCATATACACTTCTATTATTTTTATAATTAATTTAGAAGAATAAACGAACCTTACCACAACTTGAAACAACATAAATACAACCGATTCTCAAACCGTCTATGAATTATGGATCCCTCTACTAGCAGTTAGCAATGCTAAATCTCCCCTTTCTCTTTCCTCCTACAAGCCGTACTTCTCGAGCATGATGCCTATTGATACGTATCCTATGATATATAATAGAAAAAATGTAGTAAATACTTTTTAAAAAGATTAAGCACCCTAAGCGCTATAAATTGAACATATCCATAACATGAATTGAACAAATAAGATAACAAAATATACTTTGTATTTTATGAATATACAAACAAATACACATCAGCAGGGGCGGATCTAGTGCATGATGGTAGGGGTCCTAGGCCCCCAACAAACCCACCAATTTTTAAGAGAAAAAGCTATAACACGATTTGTTTAGTAAATTTTTCTATTGTGCACCCAACAAAAACAAGGCAAGGGCCCCCAACTTGATATTTTGATTGTTAATTGGTCAATTTGCAGCAGACACTGATATTATCATTCGAAATATAAAATATAAAAATTATACACCTCGATGAAATAATAAAAAGTCAACTGAAAATCGACCTAAATAAGTTATCTTTATTCGGTTAACTGAACCGTTTAATCCGAAAAAGAAAACCCAAAACCGTTTTTATTCGGATGAATTATTTGGTTTTGAATTTTTTTTTCTACACTCCTAAGTATACCCCCAACTAAGATAATAGAATTTTTCATACTTAAAAAGGATATAATATAAGTATTGATGATTTAATAGCATTTTGATGTAATTGAGGTTGACTTTGAGTTTATCTAATGAAAACCACAAAATAAACATAATTTTTAAAACAATAAGTTATTAAAAGAAAGAACTAAATGGCAAGTTAATTGAACTAATAGGGAAATGAAATAAGTAACACAATTATAATTAGGGATGGTCAAAAACCCGATCAACCCAACTCAATGCGAAATAATTCAACCGAAGTAACTCGATGTCAAATCGAGTTGTAAAATTTTCAAACCGTAAATATTGGGTTACTATTATTTGAACTCAACCCAACTTAATGAATCTTATATCTTTTTATTTCTTGGATTTAATACACTTGTTTAATTTCTATTAATATATACATCAGACAGTTACACTATCACGTACGCTCTTCATATACACATATTTTCAATCTATTCACATATCTATATAACTCATTCGTATATATGTTCAGTAACTGAAGGTTAGAAGAATATTTTAATGTATCAAAGTATCAACTCGACTAACCCGATTAACCTGACAAACCTGTACAGTTTGGGTTGGGTACTTAGGTTTGATTGGTTTCGGGTAAGATTTTTCAAACCGCAAGCATTAGGTTAGATTGTTCAAATGTCTTCAACACGATCAATCCAACCCATTAGTACCCCTAATTACAACCAAGATATTAAAGTACGTTATTGCGGGCGAAGCATAAGCCCCTAGACAGTAGATAAAAATAAGTAAAAGTATTTATATATGCCTAATAATAATATTTATAATTATAATATCGTTAATAGATTCTCAACAAAAATTAATGTAGCACCTCTTTTCCGACGTATATAACACATCCTTTTAGCGTAAATACGTGTAATTATCCTCATTTACATAAATAATTTATATAAAGATCCCCATTTGCATAAATAATTTCTTTTTCTTCTTTTTTCAATCTGAAAATAGACTTTACAAAAATGCATAAAAAAATTACATTGAATTTGGCTAAAATGAGAATTTCATGACAAAAGTGTTAAAAAAATGAATTCAATTGAAGAGATTGGTTGTTTTAGTCAATTTTCCGCCGTCTGACACAACACATTGTAATAAATTGTCTCATAATTTTCTATTTTTCTAAAAAACTTAATAATTTTCATATTTTATGTGTTATTTATAGTATTACAAAATTTCAATATTAAAAAAATAGCTATTTTATTTAATTTTCATATGCAAGAATGTCCATGCAATTTATTTACTATATTATACAATATTTATAACTCTTTATAAATTACCTGCAACATAATAATACCATTAAACTTAATAAAATTAACTCATACTCAACTGATAAAATATGTTTAAATAAAGGATAAACATTGAAATCTACTAGTACAACAAGATATTCATGAAACTGATAACCAAAAAAAGACACTCTCGCTCTCTCAAAAAAACACAAACTCATAAAATAAAATCGAGAAAGCCGAAATAAACATGTATTATGTTGCATTACACGAATGCATTTATAGTGTTTTCACGATTAATATAGAAGAATAAACAAACCTTGCCACAACACGAAGCAACACAGAACCAATGCTCGAACCGCCTACGAATTACGGATCCCTCCGCTTAGCGATGTCAAACAATCTCCTCTTTCCCTTTCCTCCTACACATATGTATCCTACAATATATAATAAAAAATGTGGTAAATGTTTTTTAGGGGCTACCAAACTAATGCAAAAAAAGTCGCTTACATAAATTGTGAAGCTCATCTATTAAAGAAGTCCCGTACGACCCCGTTTATTGACGCCTCCTGTAACCTTAGGGACCTCAACGCTACCGTATGGGTCCTATCATATATCTCACTTGCAGTCACAGGGCGACACAAATCTTTTTCCTATAAAAGTCAATATAGTTAGTAGCAACTAAGAAAACAGAATGAGTTACGAAACAAGATCACAAATTTAACATACCAAACGCTTTCTATGTTGTGTAACGGTATTGGAGACCTCGATATGTTTGAACACCACTCTGTCATGTTGGGTGTTCCTATTTTGCTTACTAGCTTTGGACTTCGATTTCCACTCGATTCTCCATTCCTTGCCAAAACACAAATAATTATAAAAGAAAATTATTAATCCTATTGGGGAAAAAGGTTAGGTTGAGCCCATATACAGCCCAAGCCCACAAGCGATCACCTTCTAGCCGGTATGACCCACTTGGACTCACTATGGCCACACTTAGACCAAATTAAATCGATTAAGGCCCACTAATACCTATTATAACGCAATTAGAACTAACATGACACGTTAAAACCCACTAAGATCCATTATAACCCAATATTGCCTGTTGAGGCCTCTAAGACCTATTACTACAACAAAATCAGTTTTACAGGACACTACCAAATTCTAAGTGTCCTAATAGACCTCTTTATAGGACTTAGTTTATAGGACCAAAAATGTAAAGTGTCATATCTAAAGGTGTTATAATAAGTTTATATGACGTTTTTTAATGTCGTAATAAGTTTTTTAGGACACTTTTAATATAAAGCGTCCCATTATCAACTTTATAGGACACTTTTGGGAATGTATCTTATAAACTCAATTTTTTATAGAACATTTGTTTTTATAGGACAATTTTTCAAATAGTGTCCTATAAAGTTGATAATGGGACATTTTATATTAAAAGTGTCCTAAAAAACTTATTACGACATCAAAAAACGTCATATAAAACTTATTACAACACCTTTAGATAGGACATTTTATTTTTTTGGTCATATAAATTAAGTCCTATAAAGAGGTCTATTAAGACACTTAGTATTTGGGAATGTCCTAAAAAACTGATTTTGTTATAGTGTACGATGGCCCATTTTGACTATTGGTAGATGCCACTCTTCGTTTATAATTATAAATTGAATGTATAATTATTAGCAACATGATAAAGTCTCAATAGGTCACACACATAAAATGTTTATCTGAATAAGAAGAATAAATAATTAAAAGAATTTAATTATTTTTGTCTTATTTGAATCTTATCCCATCCGACAAAATCAGATTCTTTAGGGGACATGATTGACATAATTGACATGTAGTGACTTTCACAAGTAGCGACTTGTGACAAGTAGCGACTTGTGACAAGTAGCGACTTGTTAACATGATGGTTGTATAAAGGAAAACCGATATCTTTTAGGAGATATGAGATTTTCTAAAAGGAATGGGCCACTCTTGGTGCTTAATACTTACGAGATAGGTATTATTCATCATACATATATAAATAGAGAGCAAGGCCTTAGCAAATGTTGTTGGTTCATCAGATGAAAAAGGATTGCTAGAATTGTTCTTAGGATCCTATCTGTACATACCTTGCAAACTCTTCTTCTTTCCTCCAAGAAGTTGGAGATTGTACCTAGCATTCGGCAAGGAAGAAAAGATCTCCTCTTAGCGTAGAAGGACAAGAGGATTAAGTGCATTTCCATGGATATCGTGGTGGCAACGGGCTGAGTTCGTTGCTTAGATTCAGATACGACATCAAAGGGTTGCTATTTTGAAACACTCATCCTACCCCGTTTTGTAAAGATCTTTAGAGGGATACGGTTATTTTCGGTTCATCAAAAGATTTTGACATCTCCTAAAATCTGAGATCATGGATGTTACGAATTGGTTTCGGGGAATGAATCCTTTAGTCTGGGTTGCAACTGTCTTTTCTTGCTCTAATCCCAAAGGTCTTGCATCCAAATAACTTTGGAGACTTAGACCGATAAGCTTAATTGGGCGCCGTTACAAAAGCGTCGCTAAAACTTTGGTAGAAAGGTTAAGGAAGTCACTGGGAAACTAATTGGTGAGTCTTAGAACACTTCTCTAGAAGGAAGATTCATTCTTGATGGAGTTTTAATTGCGGATGCTAGTCTGACCTTCGTTAAAAAGTGGGCAAAAAGTCGGCGGTTTTTAAAGTAGATTTTGAAAAGGCACTCGATTATCTTAATTGGGAGTGTCTTCGGAATATTATGATGCAAATGGATTTTAATGGGAAGTGGTGGCTAGAAGTAGCTTGTTAGGAAATCTTGAAGTGCTTCGAAATGGTCTCAGGTCTCAAAATCAATGTTGCTAGAAGTAGCTTGTTTGGAGCGGGTGTTTCAGATAGCGAGGTCTCGGCCATGGCAAACAAAATGGGGTTGTTGGTCGGGGGTCCTTCCCTTTTCTTATCTTGGTCTCCCGATGGGTAAGAATATGAATAATATAAATTCTTGGAATCTTATCATCGAGCGGTTCAAGACCAAACTGTCTAGTTCGGAACTTCATTGCGTTTCTTACGGGGGAAGATTAACGTTCATAAAATCCGCTTTCGGCAGCCTTCCTCTATAATATATCTCCATATTTCGTGCGCCAACTCAGGTTATCAAGTCTCTAGAAAGTGTGAAGAGAGATTTTTTCTTGGGATGTTTACACTCAATTTTCATCACGAAGATGTATGACGTCAGGCTTCGTGGACTCTAATCGTAAACAGGCTTGGTAAATGGCCTAATATAATCATTGTCGGGGGGTCTAGGAGTGGGTAGTCCTTTCCTTGGGTTACTAATTGGGCTCTTCTTGGAAAGTGGTGGTGGCGCTTTAAGGAGGAGTTATGGGTTCGGGTTGTAAAAGGTATATATGGTGATGATGGTAGGTTAGGTAATACTCGGAATTCGAGCTTAGGATCTACAGGGGCTTGGGGTGGGATTGTGCGTGTAGGTAAGGATTTGTCTAAAATTTGGTATTGATTTTCCGGACTCTTTTGGCAATGGGGAGACAGACCAAATATGATCCATTAAAAGCCATTATCACCAACTTAGACCAAATATAATATGGTTTTTAGATTTTTAGAACCATAATCTCGGTCATTAATCAGTAAATACGAAATCTTTCGATTAATTCTTATATTACCGAGGGATTATCGATGATTTTTCTAAACAATCTCGAAATTATGTAATTCACACACTTACATAAAGAATACATAAACATAATTCATATGTATGTATATGCCTCTTTGCTTACATGTGTGTATGTATATATGTAACTATCTATGCATATATAACTAGCTAGTATATATGTATATGTAGCTAGGTGTATATCTATGTATGCATGTATGGCATATATTCATAATATGAACTTATACATTATCCAATATACGTTATACATTCATATATATGACTAGCTACACCCTACACACATATACACTATATGATTTTGCTACCTAAAACACTAAATAAGGAATCGAAAAACAGGACCAATAATGTAATTCACTCTAAAGTACATTATAAATATGACCCGATGAGTACATTGTACTAATAGCCTTTTTATTACAAGAAAATCCTTGAAAATGACGTCAAACATGGTAATAAGAGAATTATCCTAAACAAATAGCAACGAGGACCTATGGCCAGCAAACCGAATTTCGAAAAACCAAAGGCACCCTAAATTCCTTCATTCAATTCCCAGCATTTTGCAAACCAAACAAGCCATAGGAATCGAGTCAATGGACTTTGTCATTACTAATCCCTGGGTTTCGCTGGAATCGGTGAACCAAACACGCCATTAAATATAATAGGAAGAAATTCCTATCTTGAACTCGTACAATCTCCAAAATCTTTGGAGTCTACTCGCACATAATTTTTCCCCATTAATTAAGAATTTTTCATAGACACTCAATGCATGCCTTATGTTTAACGTAAATTGGGATTCTCATGGTTGATCTATTTAACATAAAGTACATATACTACCATCGTCCCAAGAATTACGTGTTGACTTGTTGATATTTACTATATTGTACTATGAAAGCAATTTATGTATTCTTTTAGTTGGTTGCAGACTTGTAAATTACATACACACTCATCTGTGGATGGACCAGTATCAGTGGCCTGATACACGTAGATATACAAGTAGCAGTGAGTTGACAACTAAGAACTGCTCGTGAATAAGCAATCCAGTCAAAAGAGATCTGAGAGATGTACCATTAACATCTATACCTTCACTACTGAATAAAGTGCCAAACAAGTGATGAACAAGAATATAACATCTATGGTCATGTAAAATACCTGAGGTATGTCCATGATGAAAGGGACACTTGGAGAGCTCTCAAGGAAGTAGTTTATGAATTGAATGGGCATTGTTGGTATATGGTCCTTCTGCTTCAGCGGCGGCTTATCTATCTTCAAACACTTCAAGTTATTGAATGGACAAGGTTCAAGCAAGAGTTGATCTAGGCACGAGGGCAGAGCCTTGGGACATAATATACAAACAAATAAACATCAGTAAGAAAATAGAATATTATCAATACACTCAAACGGATACAATGCAAATATTTTTCGCAAGTAATAGGTTCATAGCTCATATGGGGTAGGTACTCAAAACTACTCAGCATGTTGGCGGTTGTTTAACGATCTTTGTGAATCAGCGAAGGTAAAATATTGAGACATCTAACTGCAATGTATTAAATAGAAAGATTTATATGCTTAGTTTATATAAATGCATTTTGTAGGATAGGCAGCTATGGTATGGACCAAACATGGGAATGTTTGGTGTTCAGGTCTGTTATAGTCATGTGATGATCGGTGGTTCCACAAACTGACAGCAAATGCATGATTCGAAGCTAGCATCTTTCCATATTGACACAAAAAGAATCATGGCAGTAAAAGACCTACAACCCTGGAGATTTTGGGTAGGAAGCAAATTTTACCTTTAACCAACAACAAAAAGAATGAGAAAAACGAAGGAAAACCCTTTATATAGTATGGATGAAGTTGAAAACAATTCTGATATTATGAAGAATACTCCTAAGGATTCAACCAATATTATGTCATATCATCTTTTGTCGTTTAAGCAAGGTAAATTTTTCCAAAATTGAAGAATACAAATTAACTAGGGTCTAAGTAACTTTAGTGGGCTGACCAAGGAGATATGTTCTCATCAGTCATCATTGATTCATACTTCATAAGTTCAATTCAGGATCATTAAAGGCATAATTTGGATGGTACCCTCAAGACTTGTGGACGCATAATTTGGATGGTGCAACGCATAGGACCTGCATGTGTGAAAGGAGAACTGCCGTACTGCCATATTAAACCCAGGCACTTCCAACCAAGAATCAATTGGCAAGAAGTAGAGTAATTACTACGTGTTATATACATACATATATATGTATATGTCAAATTCCATAGGATAACATTTATATTCCTTGAATTCATTTCCTCTCATCTCTTCTTAGTCATATGTATTGTTCTATTTACTATGGGCAACACCATTTAGAAGATTTATTTTGTTTAGAAATAATCATTTATCAGGATTCTTTCCATGTAGCCACCTTAGCATCTTTAAAGAGGACTGTTTGATGCTTCAATGGAATAAGAAACTCTCTTGTGTTCTTATTTTCAAAGCGTAATTTCTCTTGGGTTGCCATTGATCTAGTTCTTTGCCTTCATCATTTATTAGGATTCCTTCCATGCCCGTGTTGGTACCATGCGGAAGCAGAAGCATAAATCAGTCTTAGGGCACCATTTGTTTAGCTTCTTGTTTTGTTTTATTCCTTCCAAGCAGCTGACAACCTTTTTATAGTCGGTGCCAAGAGTTTTACTTTGTTGATTATTTGTTGATCATATTTTAAATGTAAAATCTCTTGTAATTGTCCATATTGTGAGTTTAGTGTCATCAAGCATTTTGATGTAATTGAGATAGATGAAGAATCAAAGTTGAGCATTAAGACAAGTCTGGTGGTGTGGGGTGCACACTTGTATATGCCACGTTGAACCTTAGATCACCAAATAATGGGGTAAAGAGGGCAGCACCCCTGGTAGGTTTCCAAGGGGCAGCACCCCAGGGAGATGGTCATCAATGGTTGTATCAGCTGATGACCATCAACATCAGCAGCAACTGATAATCTTCAGCGTCAGCGGATGCACCAACTGACAATTTGTTGCTAATAGCATCGGTAGTTATAACTGTTTTTACTGTTTTTGTAACCACCAAGGACCTCTCTTAAATGTTATGATAACTACCTATAAAAGGTAATTTTTGTCTCGATATACATCTAGGCATAACAGACAACAATATCACGTTAAAATACTCAAGTTTTTCTGCCTTGAAAACGGGAGTGGGCTATTGGATTACTCAATACAGATTTAGTGAAACCTAAGCCTTTCATAATTTCTAATGGTCCATCCGTTATTTATCAATATACAACACCCCGTCTCTCCTTGTGGATGTACACCATCACCTCGATAGTGGAACCACGTTAAATCTATGTGTTCGTTTATTAGCTTTTATTGCATTTATGTTCTTTTGGTTGTCATTGGTGTGCATTATTATTTGCTTGGGACATTGAACACATTTGGGATTTGCTTTGTTTCCACATTTGTTAGCGTGTTCATTTACACATGTTGATTTTATCATGGGTTCATTAGCCATGGTGGGTTTGATCTACTTTTAGATCTCATGAAACAATTTCATCAACTTCTACACTTCGTAATATTAGAGTTTTTCTTTATTTAAATTAAGGTTTTAATTTAGTTTAAGATTAAGTTTATAAATATAGAGAAAATTGGTAAAATGACCACGTTGCCCTCGTAAACAGTGGACAGCCGTTAGAGGGACGAAATCTAAGAGATTTTGCGAACATCATAATTTGAATTTGAATTTGAATTCCTTTAAATGGAGATTAGTTTCTCTCTTTGGGATGGACTGTAAGAAAATAGAATTGCTTACTTTATTGCACAAATTTAAAGTTGGATCGTGGACCTAGTCTTTATCCCCAACACAACAAAACGAGTTAAGAACTTAATTAGTAGTCATAATTTAAAATAATAATAGTAAGGATAATAATCGACAACAATGAACAATGATATTTGAATACCTGAATGATGGCCATATCAAGGATAAGAACTTTGACACTGCTGAGTTTCTGGAATAAATCCAGTAGATGGGGAACATCTATCTCTTTTATGCAATTTTTGAATTTAGACCTTGACATGGAGAGATTCACTTGCTCTAGAGAATCCAAACCCTCAGTGGATAACCGCAAATAATTGGCGAAGCCCCCGTAGTGATAGGCATCAACTGATGCTGTCAAGTTCTCAAGTAGAGGAGCAACCACGTTGAAAATCATAGGGAATCCGGTAGGATCTGTAATTGTGAGATTAGAAAGTTGTGGAGCACAAATATGGAAAATATCCAGGTAGTTCATGGTAAACCGATGTAAAGTGAGGTCTTTCAAGTTGGCACACTTGGAAAAAGGGTTGAGAATCTCATCTTTATTGTAACCGAATTGCATATTACTCAAATTCAGAGTTTCTAAAGCCGGAAAATCCCAAGCATAAGTAGGTATGCTTCGTCCGATAACAGATTGTTCATTGGTAGCAAGGGTAAGATGTTTGAGAGTCTGAGACCTGAAAAGACTTTGTGGGAACTCAAGGACTTTCTTAGTGAGCCATATCACAGTCAGTTGCTTAACATTATGCGAATATGCATAGTTTAAAATACTTCTAACAACAAATTGGTTGGGTGCTCCAGTGAATGTGAGATCAACTGCAGAAGCTTCTATACGTTGGTTTCGGTGAGATAGTACATGTTTCACGAATTTGGCAAATTGAGGCATAGTATGAAACACTTGACTATTGAATTTAAGATATGGCATTGAAGTCCAAATATGCTTCCATTTCTTAGACAATGTACTTGTCTGAATAGCAAATTTCATGTCAAGAAAAGATAGAATCTGATGAATAATCTCATCTGGCAAGTTGCTTATCCTATCTTCTTCTTCTTCTGCAATTATACTTTCTCTATCATGTACGACATCCATCTCCTCGGTTACCCTTTCGGATTCAACCAGAAGTTTATGCTTTCCTCTATATCGGTTGTTTATGCTTCGATCTTGCTTTGCATTTGAATCACCTGAATTTTGTTAAGGTATATCAGCAAAGAAATTATATAACTAATTTATTATTTTTCTTGATTACAAAACAACCTACAGATGAGATTGTGGCTTCGAACATAACAAATTAGGGTTCATGAAAAATAAAATTATATCAACCTGACGAAGTTGCTTATGTATATATGTACCCATCACCTGTTCCAAAGTTAGATACATGCTATTATGCCCCATAAACTAAACAGCAGGGAGTGGGTGAATCTCATGTAATCGAAAGGATTACTAAGGATTCAAATCCAAAAAACCACAAATACAGATAACTGTGAACATGATTGCATATATATATATATATATATATATATATACATATATATTTAACTCATAGTGTATTAGCTTGCGATAAAATTGAGCCAAGTATATTGAATATGAAATTAGAGTTTAAAGTAAAAATCTATTAGAAGAACAGAGGGTGCTTACTTCAATCGAAATTCACAGCATGCAACGATCAGTCGAAATTCGCAGGTGAAGGAAATTTCGGAGGGAGAAATGGGGCGAAACGGGTTAACTATGAGAGAGAATCTAACCGGTGGATGAAAATTGGGTTTTTTCTTATGTTTTTTTTGTTTACCAATGAAAATGATACAAGTCGAATATTGTATTTGATTTGAACTTAGATTCAAACTCAATTCAAAAATGAAATCCTTCTCCAACTTGTTCTATTTACATTCCTTTTTTTTATAATCTTTTCTCACCCTTTTCTTAACTGTTCTTTTTCAATGTGGGACAATTTTACCAATACTTCTATATATCTTTATAAAAAGAAGAACCATAAATAATAATTAATATGGTAATTTATGGAATTTTAGTATTTTCAAATCTTGATTTCTGGTGTTGTTTTACATATCCCATGTTGATAAGAGAATTTAAGGTTCGAGAATGAAAGTACCAATAAGAAATGAGAAGATTTGGATTTGATATAATTGTGGTGTGTTTTACACATATTGACGAGAGAATGTAAGATTGGAAGATGAAAGTAGCAACAATATATATATTTGGATTTGATAGATACAATATGCTTTTTGACCCGATCTTTTTTTCCAAAAAAACTATTTATATATGGAAATAAATTGATAGATAAATGTATACAAATAACCATATTTAAATTAATTTATACATATTATAAATTTTTGAATTATGATATTCCCCTGATTATCCCACAAGAAGATTAAAGTTTTCTCAAATCTTGAATTGTGATGCTATTTGGTTATCCCACATAGATGAAAAGATGATAGATTTGGCATAATAGATGAGTATATTAAAAGTGGATAGGATGTCTTATTTGGTTATCCCGCATCGAGAGAAATACAATAAAGTTAAAAGAAGGGTTTAGTATATAAAAGGTAGATGAGGTGTTTTATATGGTTATCCCACATCGATGGAAAGATACTAGATTTGAAAGAAGGGGTTAGTTTATAAAAGATAGATGGGATGCCTTATTTGGTTATCCCACATCGAAAGAAAGACAATAGATTTGGAAGAAAAGTTAGTGTATAAAAGGTAGATGATGTCTTATTTGGTTATCCCACATTAGTAGAAAGACGATAGATTTGAAAGAAGTGGTTAGTATATATTTGATGTCTTATTTAGTTATCCCACATAGGTAGAAAGACGATAGATTTGAAAGAAGTGGTTGGTATATATGAGATG